GGAAGCCATTTCTAAGCAAGCTCCACAAGCTCAGACGTTTGCACTGGGCCAGGGGTCATTTAAAATGGAGTGTGGCAAAATGGAAGACTGTTCTGTGGTCAGATGAGTCACGATTTGAAGTTCTTTATGGAACACTGGGACACCATGTCATCCGGACCAGAGAGGACAAGGATAGCCCAAGTTATTATCAACGCTCCGTTCAGAAGCCTGCATCACTGATGGTATGGGGTTGCATGAGCGCTTGTGGCATGGGCAGCTTGCATGTCTGGAAAGGCACCATTAATGCAGAGAACTATGTTCAGGTTCTAGAACAACATATGCTCCCATCTAGACGTCATCTCTTTCAGGGAAGACCCTGCATTTTTCAACACGATAATGCCAGACCACATTCTGCAGCAATCACAACATCATGGCTACGTAGGAGAAGGATCCGGGTACTGAAATGGCCAGCCTGCAGTCCAGATCTTTCACCTATAGAGAACATTTGGTGCATCATAAAGAGGAAGGTGTGACAAAGAAGGCCCAAGACGATTGAACAGTTAGAGGCCTGTATTAGACATGAATGGGAGAACATTCCTATTTCTAAACTTGAGAAACTGGTCTCCTCTGTCCCCAGACGTCTGTTGAGTGTTGGAAGAAGAAGGGGGGATGCCACACAGTGGTAAAAATGGACTTGTCCCAACTTTTTTGGGATTTGTTGACACCATGAAATTTGGAAACAACAGATTTTTCCCTTAAAATGATACATTCTCTCAGTTTAAACTTTTGATCTGTGATTTGTGTTCTATTCTGAATAAAATATTAGATGTTGGCACCTCCACATCATTGCATTCAGTTTTTATTCACAATTTGTTTAGTGTCCCAACTTTTTTGGAATCCGGTTTGTACAAGGCAGTAACGGATTCTGGTGAGTGGAGGGAACAGATTTATTCACCATCAGGAGCAATGGTGGAGCATGTAGATGAACAGATGCTGCAAAATATTCATCAATTAAAACGGATTCCTCATTTTTCTGGACTGAATAATGCGTGCATTGAATTTAATGAAATGCAAACGTGAGACGTCATTTATCTTTGACCCATCAAAATGAATGCGGTCATTTATTTACAGAATCAAAGTTTAACATCAAACATTTACATTAATTTGGCAAAATATGTAAATAACAACATAATCAATCAATCAGGAAAACCATACGGCCATGATTTTCCGTTGCTTCACCACAGACATTTCTGAAAACTGTACAATTATGATCAATTATCCACACGGCGGTGGATGAGCACTTTACACAGACATTTCTAAAATATCTGGAAGGATTTCTACTTTAGAGAAGAATTTAAAGATGGGAATGAAGTTTAAAGGGAGTAAAAGATGGTATGTGAGGGGAAGTGTTCACCAGAACCGACACTCTCCATCAGAACCCAGCTTTCCTCGGTACGCTTTGGTAGGAAACTTGACTCATTACCTTTCTGAAGATTAATCAGCAGATATGGAGGTCCAGTTAACGCTACCTGTCCAGCGACTCCATAGGATGGCTGTGACTCGTCCGAAGTAGTGACGAGATTCCGTCCGACACCAGCTCACATCAGCAATAGCAATAATCCAACTCGGAGGAGCCTTATCATGCTGGACTTCTGTTCTCCCAAACGACTTCTCAGCGCCTCACCGCACTCCTCAGAAGCTTCACCGAACTGAACTTTTCAGACTCAGCGCAGAACCGAACTGAGAGAACTAGGAAGTACCGGCATTTTAAAGAGCTCTATTTCCGGTATATTTGAGCGTCCCTTATTGGGTAATATCAACCAGACAGGGGTGTGTTTTGTGACGTAAGAGATTACTATAAGTCAGAAAACAGCAAGAATTGTTATGGAACAGATTAAACTGTTCTCAGAGACAGAGAGAGTTTTGTTTTGGCGAGTTTTAGAAACAGGTGCCAGCTCCTCTGTTGACGTCTGAGAGGATGTAAACAAGACACATGTCTGCTTCGACTCCTGACCTTGGAAACGCACACTTGCTCATTCAAAGACAGAAATCAGAAAATGCATAAAAATCTGTAACAGATCTTAACATGAATTCTAACTCTGCATAAGCACTAAAAATCATTACACTGTTTCACAGTTAATAAAATTGATTAGTTCACTGCAACATCTAAAATGGTTTGAACTAAGACACTTTGATTATCAACATTTGTAAAATAGTAATGATAATAAAAAGAGAGTGTTCTTCCACTTGATTTTCAAGAAAGAGAGTCTCAGGATGGGTGAACCTGTATTTCTGGATTCAAATCAATGAAATGACAGTTCCTGTCCCACAAGGTTCTTAAGGTCAAGGGTTTTGACCTTAGGCTTAGTCTTGACATCAGGTTAAGTTCACTACAAGCGAGAGGGTTGCCAGTGGTGGCCAAGTCCACCAAAGATTACGGTAATCTTCAGCCACCCCCAAGGTCCACCCCAGTGGTTTGAAGAAACTATACTTTTAAGTAATATAAAAACTAGAAAGCATTGATTCCCCCAATGATTGGGGTGATAGGTTTCCATATATAGATGGTGGCAGCCATCTTGGATTTTGATGTGGCAACCTAATTTTCCAAAGGAAACTTTCTTACGCCTAGATGTAGCCACACACCAAAATGGAAGTCAGTAAGTCACTTATTTTTCAATTTATTATGCTCGGACAGATGGTGGGTATTTCCATTTTCACCTCGTTGCTTCATGACTGGACAAAAATGTTTCTAGCAACTGAAGATTTCTGTATTTATTTTACTTTAGCGTATTTCTCTGAGTAGGATGGGCTGTAGTTTATGATGTCACACAATAAGGTAAATGTGTTCAAGACTTAATACATTTGTAACATTTATTTAGTTGGAGACCTGCAGTCTGGAGACTTTGGAGTCTTAGCCCTGAGAAAACCTGAAGCCCCTCTGCAGGTCTCCTCTTGTCCACTAAGAATCCAGTGAGTAAATTAGTGAACGCAGAAAATCAGGACTGCTCCTATTTTCCACTGCAGTGGATCTAACAGCACGGAAACCTTAAAATGATTAACCAGCACACACCTCGTAGTGATAGTCCATGCAGGTGAGGTCTGTCCAGCACTTGTCACCTCGGATTTTAATAAGACCCTGAAAACAAAACAAATCACAAACACCTAAACTTAAGAGTAACAACCACTCAAGTTGACTTTTACATTTTATAACTGCATCACAGGCCTTTGAAATGTAATCAAACCATGCTGTGCCTAAAGATTCCCAGCCTTTACGTCCACCAACAACTCCTCAAGTTGCTCCTGCAGCAAGCACCAGTGATCTTTTGGAGACCTCTCCTGGAAGTATCTGTTAGAAATCCCCTCAACATGTCTCGTTTAGAGCCCACAGTCCTCGACTGTCCTGGAACACAGGACTGTCTTCCAGAGAGGAGCTGAACATCGCATGTACAGAACACTCTGACACATATTTCTATTTTTTTTCCCACAATAAACTAGTCAATCTTTAAGAGCATGTCAGCATGAAATAAAAATATGAAATTTACATTTATTTTTTACTTTATTTAAACACTTTTAGGGTCGTTTGTTTTAAAAACATCCACATATACAAGTCCTTCTCAAAAAATTAGCATATTGTGATAAAGGTCATTATTTTCCATAATGTAATGATAAAAATGAAACTTTCATATATTTCAGATTCATTGCACACCAACTGAAATATTTCAGGTCTTTAATTGTTTTAATACTGATGATTATGGCATACAGCTCATGAAAACCCAAAATGCCTGTCCCAAAACATTAGCATATTTCATCCCACCAATGAAAGACGAGTGTTTTTAATACAAAAAACACCAACCTTCAAATAATCATGTTCAGTTATGCACTCAATACTTGGTCGGGAATCCTTTTGCATGAATGACTGCTTCAATGCGGCGTGGCATGGAGGCAATCAGCCTGTGGCACTGCTGAGGTGTTATGGAGGCCCAGGATGCTTCGATAGCGGCCTTAAGCTCATCCAGAGTGTTGGGTGTTGCGTCTCTCAACTTTCTCTTCTCAATATCCCACAGGTTCTCTATGGGGTTCAGGTCAGGAGAGTTGGCAGGCCAATTGAGCACAGTAATACCTTTGTTAGTAAACCATTTACCAGTGGTTTTGGCACTGTGAGCAGGTGCCAGGTCGTGCTGAAAAATGAAATCTTCATCTCCATAAAGCTTTTCAGCAGATGGAAGCATGAAGTGCTCCAAAATCTCCTGATAGCTAGCTGCATTGACCCTGCCCTTAATAAAACACAGTGGACCAACACCAGCAGCTGACATGGCACCCCAGTGACTGTGGAAACTTGACACTGGACCTCAAGCAATGTGAATTCTGTGTCTCCTCTCTTCCTCCAAACTCTGGGACCTTGATTTCCAAAGGAAATGCAAAATTTACTGTAATCAGAGAACATAACTTTGGACCACTCAGCAGCAGTCCCAGGCGAGATGCTTCTGACGCAGTCTCTTGTTCAAAAGTGGCTTGACCTGGTGAATGCGGCACCTGTAGCCCATTTCCTGCACACGCCTGTGCACAGTGGCTCTGGATGTTTCTACTCCAGACTCAGTCCACTGCTTCCGCAGGTCCCCCAAGGTCTGGAATCGGCCCTTCTCCACAATCCTCCTCAGGGTCCGGTCACCTCTTCTCGTTGTGCAGCGTTTTCTGCCACACTTTTCCCTTCCCACAGACTTCCCACTGAGGTGCCTTGATACAGCACTCTGGGAACAGCCTATTCGTTCAGCAATTTCTTTCTGTGTCTTACCCTCTTGCTTGAGGGTGTCAATGATGGCCTTCTGGACAGCAGTCAGGTCGGCAGTCTTACCCATGATTGTGGTTTTGAGTAATGAACAAGGCTGGGAGTTTTTAAAAGCCTCAGGAATCTTTTGCAGGTGTTTAGAGTTACGTCATTGATTCAGATGGTTAGGTTAATAGCTTGTTTAGAGAACCTTTTCATGATATGCTAATTTTTTGGGACAGGCATTT